TTTCACCTTTTTATCATCTTTCGTTTTATATACCTTAAATGAAGTGCCTCCACCTTTTGTAGTCTGTTTCGCATTTCATTAGCTTTTCTTAAATTGGTTTGGTAGACTTGTACTGTTAGAATGCAGAGATTAGTTCATCCAGTTATCAAAACCTTACAACATTAGTCATGTGTATTGGAGGATATATAAGGCATAAAATATTTTTCTTTTGATATTCAACTAATATTGGTATTTTCAGAACTTTAAACTCAAATGATTTCTGAAACTGTGTGCAGGAAATCCCTGTGAGAAACTCTTCTGAATTCAATGTTGTTCATTGTTATTTGAAACTCACCAAACGAGGCGGCCATTGAGTATTTATTCTAAACAAACTATTGTTACTACTATTAGGATTATTTGGTGGATAGGATATAACAGAATATAGGAACAAGAAAACAGTATGATGGAATAAGAATAGAATAAACTTTTAGGAACAAGAAATCTTATTCAATATTTAATAGACATTAGACAATAATATAACATGTCATATTTGACTCAGGGCAGACAGTGATAGTTATTGGTGGTGGTGGTTGTGAACAATGGTCATGACACTGGGTGGTGGTAGTAATAGTGATGGTGGTAGTGGTGATGAGGTGATGGTGGCATTGACAATGCTTATGGTCGTTCCGGCAATGGTAATGGCTGTGGAGTCACCATAGCAATGGTGGTGCTGTTGGTGACAAGAGTGGGAGGGAGAGAGCGAATATTCTATCTAAGAAAAACACTTTTTATAGGATCTGATACAGAATAATACCATAAACAAATAATTTCCTATTGATATATCACAACAATCGATTATATTAGGACAAGGTTTTATCGTATTCTATCTAAACCGTTGAAGGATTTTTTATAACTCATTTGACGGACTTAATATGATATGATAAGAGAATATAATATGATAGGGAAAAGACATAATATACCCAAAGTAGGTTAAGTTATAATCTTACTTTGTGTCTGGTGCATAACTAAATAATGATGGACATAAATGAATGAGATGAAAAAAAAATAAGTTTATATTTTCCTTATATTGTTACACTTTATGATAGAATATAAGGTAATAGATAATGTTAGGTGTTGGAAGGTATACGAAAGAAGAAGAAAGTATATGAGAGAAGAAGAAGGGCACCGAACGGTGGAAGGCGGTGAGAGAGAAGAAGAAGGGAACCAAACTATGGAAGGCGGGGAGAGGTCGAGCCGAACGACTGAAGGCGGTGAGGGCTCTAGCCGTGGAAAGAGGTGAAGAACTGGAGCCGATCGATGGAAAGAGATGAAGAACTAGAGCTGATCGATTGAAGAGTTACTATCCTAACTGTTGTAGCAGTTAGGATGGGTGGAAAATAATTATATAAATAGAGCTATAAGATAGGGGAATATTCGGTATAAGATAATTATAGTAAATAGAGCTATATTCTAGGGAAATATTCAGTATAAGATAAATATAGTAAATAAAGCTATATTCTAGGGAAATATTCAGTATAAGATATTTATAGTAAATAGAGCCATATTCTAGGGAAATATTTAATATAAATAGAGCTAGATTATATTGTGAGGGCTATGCTTTTTTATTATTGAGTTTGTTAACAAGCGCTACAGTCGTGTGAGAGAGGTTATACTCCCAACTATCCTTGTTTAGAGAATTCTATTACCATTAATAAGAGAAATTCATTCTAACACTTTAACCGATGTATTTATAGGATATAAAGAGGAGGCAAGAACTTGCTAAAAAACCCTAACCCTTACATGAAAAAAAAAATTATAAAATCATTACATTTCAACACTCTCCATAAAAAAACTAGAGCATATATATTATGCAACCTAGGAAGATATAAATTGAATCCCATATGAAGATTGAGAATGACAACTTCAGCCACCACATCCTCTTTGGTTGCTACGACCTCTTCCTCTACCTCTACCTACATCCTCTTTGGTTACTACGATCTCTTCTTCTACCTCTACCTCTACCTCGTGGTGCTACCATTATTGGTGTTTCAATTGCATCAGCTGAAATTGAAAAAGTCTAGTGATGAAGCTATTCATTGAAGGGATATTACCACCAACTAAAACTTGATCACATATATGATCAAAATTGGAGTGTAGGCTTCTTATAATTGAAACCATGTATAGCTTATTAAGTTTTTGTTATGAGAGACCATATCATTATTGGTCTATGTGTGAAAGGCTACTCTTTGAGTTGCATCAAAGAGACATTGAATGCTATCAGCAAAATGTCTTGCCTCGTTTTCCAAAAGTATGAGCATGTCTTATATGGTCAAAATATCTTAAGGAATCTTGTTCAACTGATTGCCATAAAACATCACATAATTGGAAATTCAATTCCTCCCACAGAGGTTTCTCTTCATCCGAAACAATAGAGAGATCCTTCTCTAAATGATCATGGTGTCCTTGACCTAGGAACCATAATTCCACAAGAGCGGATCGTGAATCATACTTTTTCTAGTTGAGTTTTGTCCTGGTAATAGTAGGTGTAGTAGAATGAGGGGAAGTGATTCCAAAGACTTGAAGGGGGAAGGAAAAACCTTAGCTTTGAGAGGAAAAACCCTAGGTGAGAGATATTGCCACCAGAATAGAAGGGAGCAGACAAAAGCCTAAAAGGCTCCTACGAGATGAATAACATTGGTCTGTTCTGATTCTGGCAACACTAAGGTGGCGCGTGGAGAAGTGTCAAGACAATTTATAGGCAACGATCACCGATGATGGGTTGTGCTCCTTGATCCTGACTTCACTCGAAGATATACCGTGATGATGGTAAACAACAACAACAGTCAATGGTGGCGACAACAATAAGCAAACCGTGGACATGACCCGGGCCTCATACCAACTTAAATAAATGAGATAAGAAAAACAATGTATATTTTGGATCCTGATACTTTAACAACTAAAGTTTGACAACTTTTTCACAACGCCACATGTTAGCCAGACATTGGTTCATTTGAAATATATTTTTTAAATCCAAAAAAGTGACGTGGAAGGAGAGATTAGGTTGAAATTGCATTTCGCGGCTTCTCCCATTTTGCTTTTTCGAAACCCTGCGTGCTCTCCGCTATCTCCCTTCTCTCTGCGGTTTGTGTATCTTCTCTTTGTTTTCCGGCGATTTGTCCACCACCGAGGAAAGCTTTCCCCTTTCTTCCACCACTTTCGGCGTGGCGACGTTCTGCTTTATCCTTTGGATGGTTTGTGTTTCAATACCCACTTTCCTCTACCCTTTTTGTGTTGTGTGTTGTGAAATGGAGAAATCTGATGAATGTGGTCATGGCACCAAGGTATGTGTCTGTTGTTGGAAAACCCCTTTCCCCTTTCCTTTTATCCTTTGTTTATAAGGGTAATTTTTAATGCATGTGTGAATGTGACATTCGTTCAAAACAAAATTGGTTGATGGTTTGAATCTAAGGTTGACTCCAGAACAGAGCACCCCATTTGGTTGGTTTTATAGTTGCATGAAAATGTTAAGATTGGTAGGATTTTGTTAAATTAGTTATGTGGTAGATTGGAATTTTTATTTATTTTTCACGTAGTTGATGATGTTGTGTCGAAAGAAGAACTTTGTTATGCAGTGTTGAAAGAAGTAGTTCAAACAATGGTGATGATTTTAACGAGCAAAATAGAACAGATAATACCACATATAAAGAAGTGCTTATGTGTGTTTTAGAGGAACAAGATCTCGTAATTGAAGAACTTGAAGCTTCAGTTTCTGTTTTAGAAGAGTCGGTTGAAGACAGGAATAAAAATGAGGGTGGTCAAAAGGTTGAAGAAGGTGTTGGTGGAAGTGGTGTTCGTCGTGAATTTTGATCATCGGTCATGGAATTTGGTAATGACTACATAACGATCACCTGAAAATAAATAAAAATTCCAATCTACCACATAACTCATTTAACATACTCCTACCAATCTTAATCTTTTCATGTAACTCTAAAAACCAAACAAATATAATGCTTTGAATAAAACACCTCTGTTCCGAAGTCAACCTTAGATTCAAACCACCAACTAATTTTGTTTTGAACGAATGTCGCACAAACACCTACAATAAAAATTACCATTATAAACAACAGATAAAAGGAAAGGGGCAATGACTTTCCAACAATGAACACATACCTTGCTGTCATGACCACATTCACTAGATTTCTCTATTTCACAACACAACACAAAAAGGGGAAATGGAAAGGGGTATCAAAACACAAACCATCCAAAGGATGTAGGGGAACATCGCCACATTGAAAGTGGTGGAGGAAAGGAGAAAGCTTTCGCCAATGGTGGATGAATAGTCAGAAAACAGAGAGAAGATACACAAACCAGAGAGTATGCAAGGTTTTGAAAAAGCAAAATGGGTGAAATGCAATTTCAACCTAATTTCTCCTTTCATGTTAGTTTTTTGGATTTAAAAAATATATTTCAAATGAACCAATGTCTGCCTAAAACGTGACGTTGTGAAAAAATTGTCAAACTTTAGTCGTTAAAGTATCATGAGGATCCGTATATTTTCCTTACACTGTTTCTTTTACTGATGTATTTATAGGATAAAAGAAGAGGCAATCAACTTGCCAAAAAAAAAACCCTACCCCTAAAGATGATGGGTTCACATACATGAAAAGAATAATAAAAGGAAAACATTAAATATAATGTAAATTATGTTGAAATGACTTTTTATTAAAATTACATATAATCTTCTATAAGCTGAATTTTAATATATATTTTTGTCAAATTGAAAACTATAAAAAATATAATTTTAAGTATACAAAATTATATTTTATTTATATAACTACTATTTATATTACAAAAATTTTATATAAGATTTTAAAGTTGAGGGAGAAGATAATACTAGTATATCATATTTTGCAATAAACAATGCATTACATTAGGATATGGTGTACGAAATGAGTCCTTAAGGATGCAGAAGAGTATGAACAAGTTTGTAAGTTTGATTTTTCGGTTACATGTTGATTTAGGGGGTATTGTAAAGAACACTCTGAGGCCTCCTGTGCCTGAACGGTGTGATTCTGAATGGAGGAAGCTTATGGAAGAGTGTTGGTCACCTGACCCTGAAAGCCGGCCATCATTCACAGAGATAACCAGCAGGTTAAGATCCATGTCTCTACTCCTTCAAACAAAAGGGTTAAGACCCTTCTGAAAGATCCCACATTTTCTGCGGATATGTATCACGGTGTGCAGCATTTTCATTGTACAGTAATGTGTTTATAGCAGTCAAGATTGGGTTATCACAACATTTACCTATTGTTTTATTAGCTACAATTTCTTCATTTCTTTATTCTTTTTTGTAAAAATCTGAGCTTAAGATCATGGTATAGTAGTCATTTAGATCTATGGAATTTTGTACTTAGTGCATCACTGAATATTTTGCAGAAGATATATCAAAATAGGAAAGAAAAGGTGTCCTGGTGTGTATACAACCAACAGTGCTTGTAATATTTGTTTTGATTGCTGATGTGAGAATGTATTTTGCATATATGTTGTCATGGAAATAGAAATGTTAAAAAATAAATGAAATATTGGAAATAAAAGGAATAAACAATGAATTCCATCTCTAAAATCGCACTCTCCTTTACATATTCCCTGATGTAATATTTCGTTACATATTAGTGAAGAATCTATCTGCACAGTAAAATATACAAACTATTGCATAATGGATGTTCAACAATGGAGGAATTACTTGTACAATTTTCTCATTTAGGCTTTGTTCGTTTAGAGTGATTTGGAAAAGATGATTTGAGGGAGATGATTTGAATGGATTTGAGTGGATTTGAGAGTAAAATTTTTGTTGTTTTTTTGAGTGAATTTGTGGGTAATTGAGAGTGGATTTGGAAGTAAAGTTTGTGAGAATTAGTGTAGGATTTGATTGATGGGATAGATTTTAAAAATTAGTTTAATTGGTAGAAATTAAAGATTACCAAAATGTCCCTAGTTATAAAAGTAATATAAAATGTTATTTATAAATGTTATATTTAATTGTAAAAATGTTTATAAAGGAAAAAAATTATGAATAATTTATAAAATTAATGTTTAAAAATTATAAAAATTGAATAATCAACTTATTTTTAATAAATTAGAAAATATAATATACCTAATTTTATTAAGATGTAGATCTTTTTAAATTATAATATTAAAATAATTATAAAAAAACTGAAAAATATATAGTCTGTAACCGGTTACGCGTTTGTATAACCGGTTACGCGTGTGCCACCAAAACTTCATTCTTCTGTAACCGATTACACTCTGCTGTAACCGGTTACGCCACCCTCGTCGTTGCTTAAATTGGAGGGCACATACGACTTTTTCGCGACAATCCACTCAAATCTCATCACAAACGCGGGTGACTGAACAGTGCAACCATCCCGCATTTCACCGCAAATCCGTCCGCACATTTCACTTCAACCGAACACATAACGAACTTAATTCCTTGCTCGCAAAACTGTGTGAACAGTTAAATCGCTTCAAACGAACACAGCGTTAGAGACCAAACTTGTTCAAAAATTATATTGATTTATTCAATAGAAGAGTTATATCTAGTTTTCTAATTACCTTAGTTAAGTTAATCTATTATACTTTCTAGTGTTACAAGATTCATATAAGGAAATAATAAAACACAAATACCACGATATTTTGCAATCACTTATAAAACCTATCACACTTAACACCCCCAATACCACTAATCACGAATAAGCATATCCAACAGTTAAGAAAAAGGAATAAGCTCTTTTGAACAACTTGTAGCAAAAAGATGAGAAGAAGAAAACAAATTCAAAAGGTTATTTTCAATGTGATTTACTCAATCTATAATCATAAAGTCACTTATTCAATAGAGAAACTCTAAAACATGTTTTTTCTAGTTTCTAGTCTGTATGTGAAAGTTTTTAAATAATTTAGAACATTTTTCAAATTGATTGCACAAAGATAGCTTGAGATGACTCTTATATAAAGTTACAACAACATCGAATGTGATTTTCTACATTGGTTGCAACCATAACCAATGTCAACCAATGTAGAAAGGTCTTTCCAAACGAAATCTTAACTTTTTTTCTTCATTTTTTTTTCATACCACTTTCATTCTTATTTTAATCTCTATGACATATAAACTTTTTATATCAATAACATCTATATTGGACCTACAACCAATATAAAACTTAGAAAATAATCAATGAAAAAAGTATCTTTATTAAGTAAAATTTCGGGGTTTTTTATTCCACAATTATTATTCTTAAAAATAAAAAGAAGGGGTAATGAATATTTAAAAAAAAAAATCAAAAGAAGTATTGATTTATTCTATAACAGGATCTCGAAAAATAAGCAATATCTTTTCAGCCTTTATCATTTTTTTAGGTTCTTTGGGGTTATTGTTGGTTGCAATATGAAACCACCGTATCATTCATAATATTTATATTGAAAAATGTAAGATAATCTGAAATAAAATTTAATTATTCTAAAATCTAAGAATACCATAATACAAACTTAGACAAAGATAAAATACTATTACGATACTCAAAGATAAACTAGATTCAGAATCAAATATTTACATCATTAGTATATAACTTATAGTATTTTTGTTTGTATACATAGTATATAAGAGTATATTATATCATGTAAATTATTAAAATATAAAATAATATTAAAAATTTTAAATCATTATTTTATTGAATAAGACACAAAATAAAATTCATTACAAATTTTGTTTTTCTAATTTTTTTGAAATATCCACTTTTTTTTCATTGTTGTCCAGTTAAGCTCAAAACTCTGACTAATCTCTCTAGCAATTCTGTGAACTTCACTTTTGGGAGGATATCCTAATGGATAAGAGAACACCTTCCTCATGTCCTCTGCAAAGTCATTAACTTTTGAATACTCCAATCTTTTCAACTTTAACTCAATATCCGACAAATTTATTATCTTTTTGTTTTGATCGTTCTTCTTTAAAACCCATGCATATCTTCCCACCATCAAACGCTTCATCATCGTCCAACACTGCATCCTTTTGCATCTGTCCATTCTCATTGCATCTTCTATCTTTTGTTGCTTCTCTCTTTTCTTCCACTCTTTCTGCAACATTTCCTTATCTTTTCTTCTATCACTCTGAGAAGATTTTGATGCATTTTTCACATCAACCCATATAGCTTCTGCATAATATCCCTTTTTATTCTTCAATTCGCATACTCCTTCACGATTCTTAGGACATGAAGAATAAATCTTTATGATCATTTTTTTCTGACATTGCTGTGTTTCTTCCATAAAGAAAGTATGAAGAAAATTCAAAATAACAAAAAGTATTAGTGAAATAAATATCACCTTGCTTTGTGTTATTATATAGAGTATTATAAATATGAATATACTTATAAAATTATATTTTATATATTTAAATATACTTCAAATAATGACGATAGTAAATTAAATTGGATAAATAAAGTTATCTTTTCTAATCTAATATAATTTTATCGTGAAAGTTAGTTCAACTTATATTCAAGCAATTATCTTATATAAACATATTTAAACAATTAAAATTTAATTAAATAGTATTTAATTAATGATTAAGTGTAACAAAATCTAATTTAATTGAATATAGTAATTATTACCTGTATCTTATTTAATTGATCATCTTATTAAATATACTCTGAATGCATTAACATAATGATATTATCTAATCGAATCTAATTTAAGAAATATATCCAGGAATTATGTTTTCGATCAAAACTAATTTTAGTGATAATTAAGTCATGTTTAAAATATTTTTTAATTTAATGAAATCTAATTTAATTATATATAGTATAATTGTTATCTTTTGAATTTAATTAAATTTTATTTAATTTATTCACATGCTCTGCAACATAAAGTGTGTAATATTTTTTAAGTTGGCACAAAACTAATATTTTATTTATTTTTAATAATATTGCAACTGTTTTGTAATTTTTCTTAAAATTGTTTTAATCTTTTAAATAAATATATATAGAGAGAAAGGAAGACGGGTAATTTAGTGTCTAATTAATTCTTTTTATCATTTTCTCTTGACCAAAATTTGTTCTCATTTATTTTGTGTGTTGACATTTTCCCCAAATAAACAGTTATTTAGCTACTTTACATTGCAGATTTAACAATAAAAAAATATACCAATTTTAGAGAATTTATTTGATGGAAGTGGTTTGATTTTTATCTTTTTTTAAATCTTCAGTTTTTGTTCTCTTCAAGATTTGATTATGATGTATCTTTAAATATCCTAATCAAGTTTGAGAAAAATAAAATTACATATTTTTAAATAATTATTTTTAAACAAAACAAAATAATGTAAAATATTTTTTATTTTTATACTCATTTTATATTTTAGTGTTCTTGGATTTCAGCATTATAGAATTTTATTTGAGATTAAAATTTGTAACTAAGTTTAGAGTTTATTTTTATATGTGTAAGATCCAACTTGAGATTTATTTGTGTTTGATATTTTATCTTATTTATTACTAAAAAAAATACAGAAAATGATATCATATTATAACTATTTAACTAACTCTAGTTACAAATTATAACTAAAATATTAATTGGGTAAATATGTTTGACTATACTCAAAACATTCATAATCGTAAAAATTGCAAAAATATATACGTAGGATAAAAAAAAACTGTTTATTTTTTATAAAGTTAATTATTGTTTATTTTTGTATTATTGTTTGAATTATTAGAAAAATAAATAAATCTTAATCTTCGTATTTATGTTACAACCACCATTAAATCCTTCATCACGTAATATTAAATACATTTTTAACAACAGTTCATTTTCATTACATATTTTACTTTTAAGTTCTTTTACCTAATGAGAATATGAAAATTAATTATATATAATAAATAATTTTCAATATTATTTTTTTATTGTTACGTTGAGATGAATAAAAAAGAAGTATAAATAAAAATAAAAATATAACTCAAACTATTAAAGATTATTACTTGAAAAAAATAGTGTTTTAATATATAAAAGTTAATGCTATTATTGATTATTTTAATTTTAAATAATTAGTCTCGATGAAAAATTAGTTTAGTACAGAGTAAAAATTCATATATGTTGCATGCATTCCAAAATATAAAGAACATTAACAACAATTGATATTATAATATTTTTTATACGAATTTTTCATGATATGTAGCTGACTTATAATTGATATATGTTTTATTTTTAAATAACATAAAGATCCTATTTTCATACTATATGTTTTCATATTTTATTTCTTCATATTGTCTTATGTCATATTTTGAAAAACGCATCTTATAATAAAATTAGTATTATATTATGGCCACGTCCTTTATCAATGAATCAAAAATATATTTGTTTATTTATAATTATATAGAAAAATATTTTTTTTGTGTGTTTATATTTGTTTTTCAAATTTATTACTTAAATAAAAAATTTCCAAATTAAAATAATTATTTTACTCATTTTACTTTTTAAATTTAATTACTGTTTTTTCAATCTGATC